TCGAAGATTCCGAGCAGGCGCTGCTAGTGGAGCGGCTCCTGAACGCCAGGGCCTACGAGCAGACGTTGATCGAAAACAAGCTCGCGTACATGGATGACTATAAGACGCTCCAGGACCAGGACGAGGCGTCCGCCACCATGGCCGGCTGGGCATCCGCCGAGTCGGGCCTCCTCAGACTACACTCTACAAACCATGGCGAGTACCTCCGGCTCCGCAACCACAAGCGCGCCAGAGAGGAGGCCATGGACGACGAGGACCGTTTGGACGAGCAGAAATCCCGGGCCTCTGCGGGCGCGGTGGGAGTGGCGCTGCCACCGGTGGGAGTGGCTGTGCCACCGGTGGGAGTGGCTGTGCCACCGGTGGGAGTGGCTGTGCCACCGGTGGGAGTGGCTGTGGAATCCCACAGGGCGCCTGCTCAAGCCTCTGCGCCCGTGGTGGTGGTGGCGTCGCTATCCGAGTCAGGCTTGGCCTCGCTCAAGGAGAAGATTGCCTCGTTGGTTGAGGAGTACTTGGGCATCCGCGAGGACTTGTTGATTGATTTCATCTACGAGTTCGTTCTCGACAACAACTTGGCCCGGGGCGACGAGCTAGTAACTGAACTTCAGGAGACTTTGGATGAGGACTCCAGGACGGTGGTGGACCAGCTCCACGAGTACATTGCCGGCATCCAGTAGATCACGGGCAGCTGTGGCCCCCGGCGGCGACATGGAAATTTGGCAAGAACATGTATTTGGGTATAAAGAGTGACACGGGCTGCGCGCCCAAAATGGTGCTTCGGCTGTGAATGCACCTCGAAAATGTTAAACCGTCCACCCGAGAGAGTTCTGGGCGTTCACGGGGAAGGATATGGGCGGTCTCTCGCCACTCGATCCGAGCGAGCTGGGCGTTCGTGGGGCGGCATTGTGAAGCTCGCTTTCGGAGTCGGAAGGCGGGAGCTCGATGCTTTTTTTCTTTTGGAATCTCTTAAACAAAAGAATCATCAACGACATGTAGGCAAATGTACCTAGGGATGCTCCCACAACAACTCCTCCAACCGTGCCGCTATTCAGACTCGTGGAGCTTGCGCCATCCGAGTCCATGGACCCATTTCCCAGGGCCGTCAGCTCGGTGCTCAGTGTGTTTTCCTCGAGTTGAGTTAGCGAGATTCGGGAGTCAATCAAGTTGGCCAAGATGTCGCTGGTTTCATCTGGATTGTTGTAGAGCTTGGAATCCGGGGAGAGCACTAGCGACTGCAAAGCGCTGATCGCGTCCGTGGGGAAGTACACCTCCGCAACAGAAATGATGTAGTCGATATTGCTGGCGGTATAAGGAGCAATCCTTTTTACGCTGACGTTTGCAAACAACTCTTGGTCACTAAACCCGTAGGATAAAACTTGTGGCAAGTAGGTAAAGATCTGGGCAGACGATGTGGAACTCAGTGCAACAAACTGGTAGTTTAATCCTTCCTTAAATCCAATCGTCACTAGGCTGTAGTCTTCACCAGGGACAGACGTCTCGGCGGGATTGATTGCTCGAGGAAGACCGGAATTTTGGGCGCCAGAGTTCTCTGTTGCTGATGTCAGAACACTATTGGTTGATTTAGAATCAATAACAATGCGAGTGGGAACCCAGTTACTGGTCGTTGCCTTGAAGAGCCCTGAACTGGTACTTGCCGGCACGGGCGTGCCAGGCGATTGTTGCGCTGGTGAAGACGTTATTGGTGCATTTGTGACACTGGCAACATTCGCAGTTTTAGAGCTCGCACTATTAATGATATCCGCAGCGGATTGCACAATCTTGGACGGTGTCGCCGATACGGTAGCAGTCTGTTTTGTCTCTGCGTTGTCTGAGGCTTCGGTCACGAATGATTTCAATGACCCCACATCACTCGCAGTCTTTGTCGCTGATCTGCTTTGAGTGTTGTCAGTCACAATCGCTGAGAAAGCAGATACGCTAGAAGAGGATTCAGTTGCCAGAACTGAAGATTGGGCGATAACAGTTTGTTTCAAGTTTTCAGACGCGGGTACACCGGCACTCAGCGACGAAGAGGTGAAATTTGGGATGGACATGGTCACCATTGACTCTGTGGGCTTTTCAGTGACCACAGAATCTGTAGGGGAACTGGTGGTGGTACTATGTGTCAAAATTGAGCTAGAGCCTAAAGTGACTTCCGCAATTGAGCCTTCCGACACACTGGGAACAGGTGTGTAACTCAAAATAGCATCAGAACTGCTGCTCAAAGTTGATTGAGAAATAACCCCGAAAGTTTTAGTCGATGACAAGCTCTGTGTTACAGACTCGGACAGCAAAGGGGAAGTGGACTCAGCAATAGGTGACATCCCAGAAGACAGTACTAACACCAGAATTGTAGGCGATAATGTATCGATGGAAGACTCGGAAGGCGCGCTCGAAGAAGCTGAAGAATGCACCATTGAGGCTGATTCCGTATCAGTAGTGCTCAGTAACGTGAAGCTGATTGAAGTGGTTAGTTTTGCTGGCTGCGAAAGAGACTCAGGATTCAAAGCGCTTTCGGTGGCCGAAGATGATGTTTGGTTTGCGCTCAAGGAGCTCGAGATAGTCTCAAGCTCGATAGTCGATGGAGCATCCGTTGGAAACAGAGAAAGCGGCGCCTGAGAAGGGGCAACAGTTGACGAGAGCAAGCCCGTGAAGGAGTCTGAAGACGATGCTATTTCGTCCAAAACACTTGTTGAGTATGACTCTTGCAGCTCGGTGGGAAATGCACTTGAGAACATGATTTCCGACTCCATCAATGTTTCGGTGGAGCTTACAATAGCATCCATCAGTTGAGAGCCGGACAGCACGCTCTGAGAACCCGTCAAACCAAGGTTAGAGCTCACAGCAGCCGACGTGGGAAATGGCAACAGATCGAGGAGCCCCGTGTCTTCCGAGCGCGAGCTCTCAGGCGCCGAAAAACTGAGATCCGAACTCACTGCAGCAAAAGTCGAGGTTGGGAACGAATCAATGAGCTCAGAGGATGCAACAAACGAGCTGGCGAACAGTGTCAGACTTGAGCTCTCGATGGTGCCAGAGATACCCAGAGATGCCGAAGTCGATACCTCGCTGGATTCTGTCCCAGCATCCGAAGATATCGGAGTCAACGCCTCGCTTGATTTCTCTTCAAAACTCAGATATGCCGATCTAGACACGACGGTTGGAGCCACGTCAACTGAGCTTGGTGTGGCCGTACTCTGCATGATGAGATTCCCAGCAGCTGAATTGGTGCTTGTCATATCCGCGCTAGATTGTTCAATGAAATTCCCAGCGGCTGAATTGGTGCTGGTCGTATCCGCAACTGAACTTTCAAGCAAAGTATCCATTGGGCTTGAAGTTGACGCCGGCAAGTCGGACAAGACGTCAGCGACTTCCGAAGAAGTTTCCACAGCAGCCTCATTGGTGGGTGAGGCCGTGAAAATAGCAGCTTCGTCCGTGGTGGAGCTAGACGATGGCAACGCCAATTCTGTCAGCGTCTCGTCCTCAGCACCAGCGGCGCTCGAATCGTCTTGGCTTTCCGTTGCAAGAATTGCACCATTTTGACTCGTAAATACAGAGGACGCGTCTGTGCTGGTGATGAGGGTACTGGTACCCGTCGCCACGAGCACGGGGGCGACGGAAGACGTCGTCAACGGAAAGTAGACGTAGGACAGCTCATCATCGTCACCGGCCACGTCGCTGGCAATACTGCCTGGTGTGTAGAAGGTCGAGTCGGCCTTGGAAGTGACCTGTACAGACGTGGGGCTGGAAGAGTCTTTTCCGGTGGATGATGTCTCTGTGATATCAGTGACTCCATCGGCCGTGCTCAGGCTCGTGTCAACAATCTTGAGTGCACTGGTGGTAGACTTCATGGACACCAGTATGGCGGACAGAGAGGCGGCCGTGTAGGTGCCGTTGGAGGTGGCGCCGAAAATCGAGTCTATGAAGTTTTGGAAAAAGTTTTCAGCCGTTGCTGCTGCAGGGGCGGCAGAGGCGGTGGAGGCTGCAGACGCCAAGGCCACGGCATAAAGCGTGGATAATCTCATGGCGCGATCTGTGTGTGTTTGTGTAAAGAACGACTGGGGTGGGAGGCGGGCTGCAAAAGCAACGAGTGAATGGAAAAAAGGATTGACGAGAGTGCTGTCGTACTCAGCGAGTCGGAGAGTGCAAAAAGTACCTGATTGGCGGCCTCAAAAAAAGCTGAAACGGCGTGTTTGAATGAGCGGCAACAGATATCAGCGGCAAGAAAAAAAAACGGATCAAGTGTTCAGACACACCATGCAAGGAACGCAGCTGAAAACCCAGGCGATATTCCCGGTGCAAAACGACTGTTCAAGGACAACAGTAAAAAAACAAGCCTGGTCGATAGTGGCCGGCGGCTAAGAAAAAAACAAGACGAAAAAGATAAGGGGCGGATCCTGAATCCGTTCTTCTCGCAGAGTTTTTTTTGGGCGGTGCCACGTTTGGGACAGCGTCAGGAAGAAGTTGAAAAGAACGAATGTGTGTTGAAAGACGCCGGAAATGGCGGGATCTTGAATGCTTAGAAAAGGCAGAAGAGTGGGACTGAGAAATCCCAAAGGGCAAGGGGAGCGAAGGAGGCACGGTGCGCGGCCGGTGCGAAGAAGCATTGTGTGTCCTGCACATGGTGCCCGATTTTGCAAGACTTTACAACTGCGCGCAAAAGAGAGTAGCTTTTGGCGCGGCAGAGCGCACAGCGTGCATACACTGGAGCCGAGTTCTGCATGAGTCCCGATATGGCTATATACTCAGGAATGCTAGGGGCGCCATTCCCCTACCGCGTCTTGCCAAAGATATGTTAGCTTTGAAGATCGAGGAACTAAGGAAAGCTTTGGCTGAAGTTTATTTAAGACAAACCACCATACTCAGGCTGCCAAAACTACATACAGAAGACGCTCCACGATTCTTCCCTACGGTTTGTTTGCTGCTGTGTTTGGAAGCGCCGGCTAGACGGGGCCCGGTTCGGAGCATGTGTTATATCTACAAAAGCCTGCCAATTCCAGGAAATCGCATCTACCGTTTTACGGGAGATCCGGCATCGTCGAAGCTCCGCTCCCCTCAGCTGATTTCGAGAGGACTGAGGCCTAGACCGATTGCGGAAGTCGTGTTTTGATTCGGCGCACGCATGTCCCAACGCAGGTACCGCGTTTTGGGTAATTAAATTACGAGCCCGGGCCACACCTTTAAACATAAGCCAAGCCGAGTTCTAAAATGCCACGGTGGTGTGTGGTTCCGGATGAAGGATAAACATTCACCAGAGCTGAACAATGGAAATCTGACCATGTGCTATCTTTGGTCTGTCTGTAGAGCGCATATACACTCTATAGTGCCTGTGAGTCTTGTATCCCTGGTTTTGAGGGATTTTCCATGGCTCTTATTCCATGCCAATTCGCCATAACCATACAACAATTGCCAGAGCAGGTCGGAAGAAGGGCCTTTGGACTAAGTCTATTGTTGCCTCCCGAAAAAAAAAAAATTGGCTCCTTCTTTCTTACCCTTGCGGTTATAGACCGTGACTAACAGAAGGGGACGGGCCGAGCTAAGACACTTGGTACGTAGCTGGGAGCTGTTTAAAGGTTTTTTATATATATTCGTTATATAGTTTTGCCCCTTTAATCAGATGAAACTACCAAGAGCACATGTGGTATGTGTCTGGGAGCTGTTAAAATGGTTTCTGTATATACTATTTGTATAGTTGCTCCTTTAGAAGAGAAGAAGAGCAAACGCCACTCTAGGTACCAGCGTTTATGAGTTTATGTGCCATATTGGGGTTTTGTTGCCAAAAGAAAGGTTATGATGGCAATCTAAACAG